CGTGATCATAGAACGAATACTTGCAATATTTATTGAGGGACAGCTTCTCTAAAAAGTAGTCACCTAATCATGGTCTGTTGTGAGCTTTTTGATTTTTCTCTATAACTGTGGGATTTGGGGCATCTACAGAAAAAGACTAATAGAAATCAAACCCATAATGGTAAATATATCAAAAGAAAAAATGTCCACTTCTCTGTATGTCAAAGGTAAAATATTTTTCCCAATGTGTTTAAATAAAAATAGTGTTTAGCATGCAGAAATGCTATGATTAATATAATTTTTTATTATATAAATGAATATTTACTTTAGAATTTGTACTTTATTTTTTAATGAGCCAATGACCATGCAACATTGTGATTATGACAGAAAGTATTTGAATTAAGATGCAATTATTCGATGTTGTATTAGCAATGATAGACTTTTTCTACTTCTTTCTTTCTTTCTTTTTAATAAAGTGTGATATCTCCAAGGAACCTTAATGCAGATGTTTATAATGTTAGCATGGCACTTCCTACAAATGAAAGGGTTGTGAGTGACTCTGGGGCTTATATTGCAAATTGTTCTAGGGAGAAATTTGCCTGTCCTGGCATCAAGCCCTGGCTGAAAGCCAGGGAGAGGGCTACGGAAAGAGATTAAGGTGTCAGTGCCGGAGGCAGGGCGAGGCTATTGGGCAATTTGTTTGCCTGGTTGTACTGCACACCTGATTTACACTCAGCCTGTGAAAACCGAACCACAGGTAAAATGCCAATAGTTGTTCCACTACGGTGGTAAACTTTTGAGTGATTTATCTCCTCCATTTTTCAAACCTTATGTAATGTCTTGTTTTTATAATAAACAATTTTAGAATGTCTTCCTGTAATGCTTATACAGACATTCATAAAACGGTCAATATAATTGTATGCATATTAAAACACGTTAGTATTCTTTGAGATGAAATACCAGTGCCAATGCCAGATCATACCGCCATTGAGTTTTCAAAATTGTTTGAACATTTAAAAAAGTACCCAAATCTATAAACACAGAAGAATCAATACAACCTAAATAACACCTATAATGCAATTATTTTATTGGAATGATGGTTTCAGTGTACAGAAATAAAGCTTGTTTAGGCTATTTTCTATTCTGTACACATTATGCATTGGTCATGTAAAAAGGCAGAGTTTTCTTGCTAAGAGTATTAGTTAACCATAAAATTATACTAATACATGGTGAAATGTTTCCCTCAAAGTCATTTTGATGAATAGCTAATCTTATGGATGTCTCAGCAAAAGAATTAAAGGATTCGGACTTAAAAGCCTTCAGTAACACATATTTTCATTCTTATGAAACATCCTTCCATCTTTTAAAGATCAAAATCCATTTTCAGAAAGAGAATAACTATTACAAGTAAACCTTGATCACAGAAGAATAAAGGAGAAAGTCATGGCATTTTAGTGTGATTCTGTATGTTATGGGGATCTCATGGAGCTGATACACATCTGTGGTTGCAGGGAGGGAAATTGTAAGAGTACAGACTTTTACTGCTTTCACTGTTCTACATTAAAACATAGCTAAATAGCCATATGACATTAAAGGCATGTCATGCAATCCAGAAACATCAAAAATTTACTATTTATTTCCTCAGAGGGGTGAGATAACATGATGAAACCTCTTCTCTACTAAAAATACAAAAATTAGCCGGTGTGGTGGCACATCCCTGGAATCCCAGCTACTCGGGAGGCTGAGGTGGGAGGATGGCTTGAGCCTGGGAGGTTAAGGCTGCAGTGAACCGAGATAGCAGCACTGCACTCCAGCCTGCGATAGAGTAAGACCCCTCCTCAAAAAATAAATTAAATTAAAAATTAGCCAGGCGTGGTGGCGTGTGCCCGTAGTCCCAGCTACTAGGGTGGCCGAGGTGAGGGGATCCCTTGAGCACAGGAGCTTGAGGCTGTAGTAAGCTATGATGACACTACTGCACTCCAGCTTGGGTGACAGAGCCAGACCCTGTCTCAAAAACAATTTTCCTATTAGATTATCTTTTCCCTAATATATACTTTAAATATGTTTGTGTGAACTGGAGGAAAATATATGAGTACAGCAAGACAGGATAAAAGGGGAAAGAGCGATTGCACTTCCTGTGTCGTATATGACATACTGGGAAGTAGAGGGACGGACCTGTTGAGTTTGAACTTAATGGGCACAAGGTACAATTTCTAGTTGTATTTTAAGAAGACGTCTGCTCTATAATGGATGATATGTATACTATCTGGTTTAGTACTCACTAGTCGCTATCGTAGAAATTGCCATGGTTGACTTAACCTCTTTAAGTCTCATTTTATTCATTCAGAAACTGGGAATAACAATGATGACCTCACAGCATGTCTGTGAGAAAGTAATGACAAGCTGGACACAAACACCCTAATAAAGCAGCTGTTAGCTTGTACTTTTAAGATGACATCTATTATAAAAATAAATATTTCTAACCATGTTAAACTCTCTGAATTAACTAAATTGCCTTTTGGCAGATTTCCCTGATGTTGCAGGTATTTAGGAGATTGTTTCAAAGCTAGACACCAGTTTTGAGACGTGGAGAAAAGTGTTATATTTTGCAGCCAGTATGTTCACGCCATCAGTGCCAGGCAGGTCTGAGGTCTTCGTGGCAGGTGGGGCATGTTACTAGGATTTTCTCCTGCTAATGCTGATCCTACCTGCCGGGAATTTTCCATCTGCTGGCTTGTACTATGCTGGCAGAAGCTGTTTTTACTTGAATCCACTGTCCTCTTGAACATTGGCAGTCTTTGCTGCGGGGATAACTCAGTGTGCTTCTGTTCCGGACTCACATCATTGGTAAATGGCCCTTGAACTTCATTGTTACATGACCTCTTATTGCAGGTGGCTTTATCTGTCTTGCTCACTGCATGCACTCAGAAAAAGGTGGCATTTTTATTGAGTGCATGCGCTTATGGTGATGACCCTATTGAGAATACCTGACTCTCAATTTAGAGAATGTCTAGGAACTTGATTTAAGCAGGTATCTAGGAGCAGAGAAAGCACTATAATTCAGTGCTTTTCAACGGGATTTTCAGCTGTTCCCCAAATGTGTTCTTTGGGATCTGTGAGTTCTCTACAAGTATTTTTCAATATTGTTTTTGTGTTGATGATACCCTAAACAAATTAGCAGAAGCATATTTTGCATGATCTTGATGGCCACTTCCTAAGTGTATCCAATTTTCAACCTGCTTCTGGATTTTTGTTCAGAACCAGACTGGTGCTAAAATGGGAGCATGTAGCTTTTGTGTGTTGGCAAGCATGCTGCTTGCTTTTGAAGTAGCCCGGAATGACAGTAAGCATGAGGGGCCACCATTGTGCTTATGGGGAATTCTTCTAACTGAAGAAACAAAAGTAAACTTCTCTTTGGGATTAAAATGGGTAATTAGAAGTACTTTAATTCTTAATGAGCTAGTAAGAAAATAATTCAAGTTGACCTAATTTGTAAAGAATGCTGTCACACCAAATGGAAGCCAAGTAGGTGTCATGGTGCATGAGGTTTTCATAGCAGGCTGAAAATTCCAAGTTAAAGACAAAAGTAAGCCATGGCCAGAAATGTCTCACGCTCACATTATCTTTAGATTATATGAACGAATGATAACTGCCATTTATTCATTTCCCTTGGTGATTTGATGGTAAAATTTATGCTGGATAAGACATTCTTTTCGATGTCTGTAAGAATTAAAAACCAATTTCAGATATCATTTAAAAAATAGATTCCAACAGTAATTGAACTTGGTTTACATTTGCAGATTTCAATAATTCTACAATATTTTTCTTTTAAAAAGATAATTTTAAAGATTATTTTTCTTTAGAAGTTTCTAGCACACTAAGTTGGAGAACTGCTGCTTGAGCCAAAGATAGGAATAAGCCGGCTACTGAAGGGGACCCTCTGTCCCTTACTTAATTTTGTGGTTTAAAATTGTTGGGCCTTTGGAAATATCTCTTTCTCTGAATTTCATATTTTTTGGCATAGAATAATTTCTTTCTTAAAAGAAAGACTTCCACAATAGGGAAAGAATGAGAGGATCTCTGGAGGAAGGATTTAGGGGATTAAACTCAGACATTTGAGAATAAATCGGCTATCAGTCCAAAATGTAAGACCTATTTCCTAGTCTGTCAGAGACCTTCTCACCTCCTGAAATAGCCCATGGTCAGAGACACCCACCTGTGACTTTATATCATAATATAGTAACTTGCTGATGGCAAAGCTTGAATTAGAGCTGCCTGCAATTCAGTCATAGCTATCAAATTTACTCCCAGTGATAATTTTATAAATTTTGTTCTTATCTTGTATTGTACAGTTATCTCCGTTATTTCTGAAGTAATTTATGTCCAATAGCATAATTTTAATGTAATTAATTACATGGGAATTTAAAGATTCATAGTAAAACAATTTACAGTAGTTTTTAATAATCTATTGCCATTTTATGCCCTTATATTTCATAGTCAATAAAATATGCACGTCTATGAACGTGCACATATTTTTTAATAAGAAAATGATCTTTAACTTTGTATCATGGTGGAATTTGGAAAAGCTATCGATAGTTTTGTTCAGACAAAAATTTAAGAATTATAGTAAAGAGTTATGATTTGGTTGGATTAAAAATTCTGTAAGATCTGATCTTAGAATCTTAATCTTGGCAATGATTAAGATTCCCAGTGATGGTGAAGAGTTGTCCGGGAATAACTCTGTCATAACAAGCAAAGTTTGTTTATAAAGCATGGCAGAGCTCAAAGGGAAAGCTGTTATGGAATCTGGCTCTAGCAATTTTGTCAAAATAAATCAGTGAACACAGAAGTGGAAGGACCCCTCTGTGTGACATCCTTTCCTGTATCATTTATTTTGCTTTTCCCATTTTCTCTGTTCCATCTTCAACTTTTCTATGCATTCTGCAGTCCCAAAGTGCCATCTTTTGTGTACTTTTGTGAATAATTTTTCCTCTTTCCAAAGCAGGTAGAAAACTCTCATGTATTCAAAATACTTTTATTGAGTATCTAAAAATACTTATTGAGTATAGTCAGTGGAGTAACGCATAACAGACACTCAATATCTATTGAGTTACGAGCATCCACGTTAGAGATTAGAGGCATCAACTAAAGAATCCGTAGTTCACAGCTCCTGTCTTCAGGGAGCTCAGCGTGTCATGAGAGAGGCACAGAAGAGACCCATTGCATGTGGCGGAGACGTAGCAACTCCGAGCTCCACCTCCATTGCTCTGGGAGCACCAAGGACAATACTGGTCACTGCTCCTTGGGAAACCAGGAAAGGCTTAACACTGTGCACTGCTTCGTACCTCGCCTTCTCAGATAAACAAGGATTTGGCAAACACACAAAACAGGCAGGGGGTTCCCTCCCAAGAGAGGTTTACAGCATGTGCCAAGGCGGGGACTTTTGAGAGCTTGTGATGTGTCCAAGGAAGTCAGTGTGGCACAGAAATTTTGTCCTTTCTTCATTCTGCAAGCAAGAGAAAGAAGATCAAGAATGAAGACTAGAATAAGCATCTTAGTTTTCTCAAAATCACGTTTAGGGAGGTAAAGTAAACAGAGTGAAAGTAAAGAGAAGGGTGACCAGTGACAGCACACAGCAGAAACAAAGAAACAGAAAAGGACTTTTATTACTGAATGGGAGTCATGACTAAGATTCATTGAACCCTTGCTAAGTAGCAAATACTGCACTAAGCATTTTATTTGTTATCTTTTTGAATTCTCACTCTCTTTTAATAAGTACCACTCAATAGGTATTGTTAATTTATTCACTTTATGGAAGGCCAATTGAGGATCGGGGAGATGAAGTCGCTTCCCCCACCCCGCCCCTCACATATTTGAATGAGATGATGCCATAAGTGGCAGAATCAGAATTTATGTAACTCCGTAAGTGGAATAGGGAGACAGATCATGCTGGCCAGTTTGAATGCAAAACAACAGCAAGGAAACAAACAACAACAATATGAACTTTCTCCGGCAGAGCTTGGGTGTGTGGTTTCAAAGGAGGCCTCGTTGCAGTCATTGTAAAGGGTTGTGAGGAGATCACAGGAGACCGAGTTCTTCCACCCTGAAGGTTTTGGTTAGACAGGAATAAAAGCATCAGAGCTTTACAGTGATATCTGCCCACTGGAAAACTCTTCCAGAGTGGGGATGACGTTAGTTATGGTCTGTGATAAGGGTCCCTGGAGGAAATAAAAGTAAATGTATGCACAAGGTCATACACCGTCCTCTTCTGGGCATTACTAATCTCTTTCTCCTCTTTGTAGAAATTTTATTCTAAAGAGGAATTATCCTTTCAGTCATGTTAGATCTGTGTTATTCTCCAAGTCACCTTTTCCCGTGTGCTTTTCCTTGGTAAGCAGTATATGCTCACAAGAACACGCTCCTTCAGCTGCACCTCTAAGATCTGTACATTGATGTGATGCGGGGAGGAGCTGTAAGTAGAGCCATGAGCATGGAACTTCTGGATGATGGGAGATGACCAGGGAATGAAGCAGAGGGGAATGACTTATTCTTTACGGGAGCAGGGAACAGACAGGCAGCCAGAGGACCCGAAACGTGGGAGTCTGTCCCTAATGTTAAGAGGGGTAACTTAATGATGTTTTTTTCTTAGTTTAAAGGATGTTTCTTGTAAGTTTCGGCTGCAAGTGTAGGGTACCCGATGCTGGTAGGAAGCCCAATATTGTATCACTTTGAGATCTAGGTTTGCTGGCGTCACATACCGTACAAGCCCAGGGCATGAACCAGGCCTTTGCAGGCAAGTTCTAGCGTGCTTTAGAGACCCAGAACCTCCCGAATGTCAGTGAGAGGCAGGGGCTAGTGAGGACGGCTCTGCCCAGGCTTGCCCCCCGCCTCACGGGACTCAGTGGGTTGGGGTGAGCTGGGGTGTGGAAGCAACACAGAAATGGGTCACGAACAGCAAATAGTCTCTTTCCAAAAAGAGATCATGTACAGACATTGCGCTAGGTCTTTGGGAATCCCGCAGGGGATCATGGGGGGCAGTGAGAAAGAGGGAGAGAGAGCTTGTAATCACGAAAGAGAAAGTTCCCGTGCATTGAGAAGGTGGCAGGGCATGGCTCTGCAGGCCGCGCAGAGCAATGATACACATTTGTGTGCCGCGATGTCTTAAACTTTATTAAAGGTGGGCTTCAGTGTTTTCTCAGATTCTTGGTGGTCCAAACAGAAAGGTTAAACAAAACAATTTACATGACTTTCACTATTTATAAAAGGAAGTACAGAAGGATGTCAAATGTTAAAATCACTTTTCATCACAGTCCAAACTGAAACAAAGCAGGAAGAGGCAGAAATTGCTCAGAGAGGAAAATCAAGCGGCGTGGGTCCTTCAAGATGCCCCGCTTTCTCTGGCATTTTAGAAAGAAATCTTCAAAAGGGATTTTTCTGAGTTTGAAAACAATTCTGTATTTCCAAGAGTGCTAGGAAATTTACTTTAAAAAATACTCAGGAATGTTTTAAAAGATTCCTAACGATCACATTCTGTATATATAGTCAAATCTTATTTTACTAGACTCTGACATTTTGGTTATGTTAACGAATCATCCGCAATAAAAATATACCATAGATAATGGATTTATAACCACATGGTTTCCATTTGTTAGTGTTAGTGTATAGAACAAGTGTAGAACAGATAAAGAAAATATACATTTGTGAGGGGGGAGTTTTTTCCGTGATGCCTATCACATTCTGAAGTGGAATGCAGTTAATTCGTCTCCTTCCTCAGCTCAGTAAGTTTATTTTCTTAGAATCTGTTCTCTGAGTTAGAACTAGCTCTGATTAAGTGCTATATTGGAAATAGCTCAGTGTAGAGCCATGGTTAAAATAATCAGAAATTATATCCATAGATAATTCAAATCTGAGAATTAGAAGCAACGACAACTGTGAAGCAATATGTATCACTGAAAAATGTGTATTCATGATTGTTTAATGATTAAATAATCCAGCTTCAGGAAGAGTCCACAGAGGACAGGCCCGGGCAAAGGTCTTTCATGTTACAATTCACATGGAAAGCGATATTATGAGATCCTAAAAGACAGCTCTGCTTTCAGCTGGACCACAATTTAGTTAATACTGTTTTACACTGTTATTTGTAGTGAAATGCAAAAATAAAAGGCATATTTTATTGGGCTTTAAAAACAGTTTTCACATGGATATTCATTGAAAGATTTCAAAATCTTGATGATTTAAATGCTTTCCTTCTGAGATACAATAGAAATCTAATAGTACAATTAGCCCCGACTTCTGCTGGCATGCTTCATCCTATCAGGCAATCATAGGGATTATTTACATTTCGAGTGGGAACATAAATATCTTAAGAAATAGACAAAACAATATACCCATTTTTATTGTTCAGTCTAACTCACCTTCGTAAAAGTCAGCGTATTGAAATATCAATCAATCCAGCAATTGCTTTTTGCTATGTGCCGCAGTATGGATCCTCAGGGACTCCAGACTGTGTGAGGCAGTAACAGGAAACAACAGATGTGCTATCTAAGCCATTGATTTTCGTCCCCGATGAATTTAGGTAAAATTGTATCATTGAAATCACTCCAATGGCTGTGAAGCCAGTTTTAAAAGGCAACTCTCTTCAGGTTTGTTGGTTTTAAGTATCAGCTTGTGTGCACATGTACAGGGGTCAAAAAGGTGAAGCCTCTTATGGCTTCTAGGACTTCATAACACCATCAAGGAATGGTTTTCCTGCACCCAAAGAAATCATAAAATGGAGTCATTTGCAAACATGAGAATTAATCTGTTAAGATTCCTAACTTTATTTTCTTTTGTTATAAAAGCAAGGAAAAATGACATGCATCACTATATTGCCAACAAGAGATACATTTTAGGGTTAAATTGAAAAAGTTATACTACTTTCATTGGCTTGTACTGATCGAGTGAAGGAAATGCTTCCCCAAAATATGGTACCTTGGCCTACTGAACGTTTTCCGCTGAAGGAAAATGAGAAAGCACAGACGCTAGGAAGGTCACTCTCTTACCTTCTCCTGCCTTTCTCCTCTGAGGCCATGAAGAGACTTCTCTGACCCACCCAGCTGGAAGGGGGCCGATAAGACCCTTGCTCCAGATAGGCCCTGTGCTAGCCTCAGGGGCCAAGAAGAATCTGGACAGACAGACCTTGCTAAATCCCCCAGTTAGTAACTGTTCGCTCATGCCCTATTTGTTCAGTCATCCTCCTACAGGCTGTCTGTTCTTCATCAACCCTAAGCATAAAAATACGGTTTTTGGCCAGGCGTGGTGGCTCACGCCTGTAATCCCAGCACTTTGGGTGGCCGAGGCGGGCGGATCATGAGGTTAGGAGATTGAGACCATCCTGGCCAACATGGTGACACGCTGTCTCTACTAAAAATACAACAAATTAGCCTGGCGTGGTGGTGTGTGCCTGTAGTCCCAGCTGCCCGGGAGGTTGAGGCAGGAGAATTGCTTGAGCCCAGGAGGTGGAGGTTGCGGTGAGCCGAGATCGCGCCACTGCACTCCAGCCTGGGTGACAGAGTGAGACTCTGCCTCAGCAACAACAACACAGTTTTCTTTAGGTCTTTATTTCTGAAGGTGCCCCTGTAACATAAAACTTAGGTTAGATAAATTTTTTTGCATACACTGGATGAAGAAAAGATACTACTTTTTCTTTCCTATAGTACATTTGGAACCTTACATTTAAAAAAAAACTTATGTTTGATTTGCCTTTAAGATATGTATTTATAGGCAAATAAGGCTGACCATTAGTATGGAATATTTATCTTGTTAGATTTTTATATACTTGCAAACACATTGATAATTTTCTCTGTTAGTACTTTTAACAGAACAGAAAGGCCATAGCATATTCAGGGATTTCTGATCAATATTCAATTTTCTTATGTATTTGTTTATACTTTAGCCTTATAATGATTTCAAATCACATCAATAGTTTTTCTTTATTTTTGCAAAATCATCTTCTGAAAAATTCTTTAATTGGAAGACCCTAAATTTTACGCTAGACACCTTTTTTTGTTTTCCCCAAGAAGCTCAGTTTTTAAATAGATTTTACAGTCAGTCCAGACTAGGAAAAGAAGTTGCAGACCATCATGCAATTCCCGGCTCCTTTTACTGCCTTTCCTTTCCTTTGTCACATTCTGCTTTCTTTACACAGCCTCCGCAAGCACGGCAGGTCCTCACGGTCTAACTACCAGCTTCCACAAAACATGTGACAGCCAATTTCCCAGCACCGAGGAAGCTCTAACTTAGTGAACACTCATTCATCCACTGAGGAGCTTCCAGATGAAATGATATTGCACATGCCACGCCCTAGAGAGGCCCAGAGCTGGACATGAAGGACGATGCCCATGATCATCGCTTCATATTGATTTTAGTCTTCACTAACATCAGTCCCCATTCACAGATCCTAAGAGCCGTAGGAAAAAATGGGAACAACCCAATGTCTACTCTAAAGTGCTCTCAGAAAATATTCTTTCCTGATTTCAAATTTTGGTAGACCGTTAAATATAGGAAGGTGATTTACCAGAGTCAAGCATATACTTCCTACTGGCATGAGGCTGGACTTCAGAATGAAAAAGAACTTTTTTGTTTTTGAGATGGACTCTCACTTTGTCACCCAGACTGGAGTGCAGTGGCACGATCTCAGCTCACTGCAGCCTCTGCCTCTCAAGTTTGAGCGATTCTCCTGCCTCAGTTTCCCAAGTAGCTGGGATTATAGGTACCTACACCATGCCAGGATAATTTTTGTATTATTAGTGGAGACAGGGTTTCATCAAGTTGGCCAGGCTGGTCTCAAACTCTTGACCTCAGGTGATCTGTCTGCCTTGGCCTCCCAAAGTGCTGGGATTACAGGCGTGAGCTACTGTGCCCGGCCAAAAAAGAACTTTTAAGAATCTGTTACATCATATTTTACCTTATATCGTACTTCTAGACTTGATAATATCATGTAATAAACTCCAACAATTCTTTATTTAACTTTGCTTTCCAGGTACAACCAAATAAATGATTTCTTTGGAGGCAAGATTTTCACTTTATGAAGGTGGAATTTTAGAGTTCTCTGTACAAACAGCCTATAGGTTGTGCAGTGTTTGTATATTTTTTAGGAGGAATTATTTCCAATCACAAATACACCAAAGTATATGTAGAAAGTATACAAAAATGTAGCCAATGTACCAATATTCTATAATGAGGAATACTCTTAGTAAGTTTATCCATTTGGTTCTTAGCAGGATTAGGGCTTATGTTTTTACGTTGCTGTAAGAATTTCTACACTATGGAGTTGGAAGGATGCTAAGCTCATTGTTTTTACCAAAGCAAAAGAAGATGGTGACAATAACAGAGAAGAGGAGGAGGAAGGGGGTGGGTATAAATCAAATCTGCCAATACTCTTACTTCAGTGTGAGGGTGTTTGGGTCAAAATTCTACTTTCCAGATAATCGTCCGAATTATTCACTTTAAATTGTAAATAAATTTAATGAGTTGAGTTCAAATTAATGTTTTTTAAAGCAGCCACTAGGATAAGCCGTTTACACTTTAATATATGCTTTATGCCCAGTTTGTTCCATGCAAAAATATAAGTTTCTAGGCCAAAAAAATGAAATGTATAACTGCTCCCCATATAATCACTCTCTGCTATTTATCAGCTGAATGTGTTTCTTTCCAGTTCGTATTTAAATCTTGTGCTTATGATGTGCAATGACAAATCCAATTAGCTGATTTTGCTATAGGTAAAAAAAAAAAACCTGGTTACTTCCAACTGTGTGAATGGTATGCTAGTGCAAGTTGTCCACACAAATGGCAAAAAAGAAAACGGCCTCTGAGTAGAGTAGAATACTTTTATCTGGGAGCTCCTGATCTGCCTTTATATTAACATAACCTTGATTCAGCTTTGTGACTTGATAGATAGTGAACCCCAGAGAGAGAGAGAGAGAGAGAGAGAAAGAGAGAGGGGGAGGGGGAGGGGAACAGATTCAACCTTTTATTTCAGGCCACAAGTATTTCATCAGGCTTCTTCATAAATGCTATTTCATTTTGGTGAAACTTCTGATAAAAGCCAAAAGAAGCACAATGCCAATGTTAGAATCAATTCCAGTGTTTATTCAAATGGTTGATTTCAAGAGCATTACTGTTATTAAAAGGAAGCAGTATAGATAGCTAGAATAAATTTTAAATTTTGGTATGAAGTTTTTATTGGGATTTAGAATGCCATTTTTGCCTCTGCAGAAGACTTTGGGCTGAATTACATACACTATTTTTAGATCCTTGTTTGAACAGAAAAGATTGTTACTTGGATGAGTCATTAGTGAAAAACATTTGTGCTTGTGTGTGTGTGCACGTGTGTGTGTGTGCGCGTGTGTACGTGTGTGTGTGCGTGCGTGTGTGTGTGTGCACGTACCTTTGGACACTGGCACATCTCTCTCTCTCTTTACAAGCTTCTAGACCCTAGAACAGGAAAACTCACCTTCTCTGTTCCATGATTTGGCACCTACCAGGAGAAAAGTGGCAGATAATCCTGATTCTATGTCCTTATGTGGTTGACCATTGAACAACACAAATTTCAACTGTGTGGGTCCACTCATAGGCAGACATTTTTCAATAAATATAGTGGAAACATTTTTGGAGATTTGTGACAATTTGAAAAAACTTGCAGATGAATCATGTAGTCTAGCAATACTGAAAAGATTAAGAAAAAGTTACGTCGTGAATGCATAAAATATATGTACATACTAGTCTACTTCTGTGTTAATCAGCTACATTATTAGTAAGGCTTTCAATCAATAGTAGGTTATTAGCAAGTAACCTTTTGGGGAGTCAAAATTTCTAGGTTGATTTTTCAGTGCATGGTGGTTGGTGCTGCAACTCCTGCTTTGTTATACACACACACACACACACACACACATACACACACATATATACATGCATAGTGCATATATATTTATATTGGTATAACTAATATGTTATATAATATACATAATATGTTATCATTTATAACAAATCATCATATATCACTATATAATCTGTTATCTATAATCTACAATATATGTACTGTATATAAGCAATAGCTATATAATAGTGTGAAGAGACAGAATTGTGCTTGAGAAGGAAGAAAAGTTTGAAGCAGAAGCAAGGTTTGATGGAAAACTAAAGGAAGATATGGTTCATTAGGTCATGAATATTATATGAGGCCCGCCTTGGCCTCCCAAAGTGCTAGGATTACAGGCATGAGCCACTGCACCCAGCCAGAAGATGGAATTACTAGGTATAAATCAAATCCATTCCTCAAGACCCAAAAGGAAATACAGCCAGCAGAATCCCATGTGCTTTTTCAATGTAATTATATATATTATGTGATATATATTATAATACATATTATAGGTATTATATATTGTATTAATATCAGCTATCAATTATTACATTAATTATTAATTAATTACACTATAAATCTATCAATATGTATATCATGCAGATAAATAAAATATATGTATAAATATGATACATATATGATATAAATATATGTACATGATATAAATATATGTATATAACATACATATAACATTACCA